GCATTTTAACCAGTTGATGGGAAAAGTATTCTTAAAATGCATTCAAAAAATCGGAACAATTTGTAATAAATAATTATTAACTCTATTTTGAAGCCCACGATAACAATATTGTGCATATTCATTACCGTGCCATGTCATATTGCTGAATATCGGCACATATTTATTTCAGATCTTCTGCTTCAAGCTCTTAAAAAGTAACATAAATGTAGTCCATATTCTTCATGCTCTGTATTTCAAGTCTTCTAAGAAGGTAAAATAGCTTTGTTTCAGGAACAGGTCCAAATTTAAGTGATTGCTCACAGAACATACAGGCCCCAGTGCAACTACCTAGCATTGCCAGTAGTTATTCCAGTTTTAAATGTGATGACATCTCTTTAGATTGATTTATTTTTTATTGATTAATTGATTGATTGTCTGTCTGTCTTTCTCTTTATTTCGTCCTCTCTTAGATGTAACAAATGTGAGGTTGGTTGGTGGTAACAGTCCTTGTGCTGGTAGAGTGGAGGTTCTTCATAGAGGTCAGTGGGGAACAGTGTGTGATGGTTATTGGGATATGGCTGATGCTGCAGTGGTGTGTAGAGAGCTGGACTGTGGAGAACCTGTAGATGCTCTGGGTGGTGCTCATTTTGGGCAAGGATCAGGACCAATCTGGATGAGTGTTTTAATATGTACAGGAGAAGAGTCCACATTAAAGAACTGTGGATCAGCAGGGTGGAATAAACATGCCTGCACTCATAATCATGATGCTGGAGTCATCTGCTCAGGTGAATACAATTAAACCTCAATGCATTCCACACTTTCTGATCATTTTGTCTTGATTATGTAAGAAAGTAAAGATATATTTTTTTGCATGTGGTTAAATGCTTATTCTTATAATTAATTACCACTTAAGAATTAGGCAGCTTGAAAAAAATTTAAATCTGCCATGATTATTTTACTGCATTTTCACAATGAATTAAAGAAATAATTACAGTTCATGTTCTTAAAAACTTTAGATTTTTATGATAAGAGTATGGTATTTAAAGGGGTCATATGACGCGATTTCAATTTTTCCTTTCTCTTTGGAGTGTTACAGCAGAATATGAAGGCTACTCATTTCCAAATAGTGAAGTAGATTGGTGACCTCAACTGTCAAGCTTCAAGAAGCATTTTTAGTAAATAAACTACAATGATATATATATATATATATAATCATGAAAAAGAAAAGACACCCTATGAATTCCATGGTCTTGTGTATCATGACATAGTAAAAAATCATCAAAGTTGCATCTGAACAAACCATATAAGACTTCTAAAATAATGTCCTTCGAACAGATGAGACCAATGTGGAGATGTTTGGCCATAATGCACAGCGCCACGCTTAGTGAAAGCCAAAAGAGCATATCAGCACAAATATCTCAAACCAAAAATCAAGCATTCTGGTGGAGGGCTGATGATTTTGGGCTTGTCTTGTAGCCACAGGACCTGGGCACTTCACAGTCATTAAATAGACCATGAACTCCTCTGCATACCCAAGTATTCTAGAATCAAATATGAGGCCATCCGTCCGACAGCTAAAACTTGGCCCTGTGCATAAACAAATGCCCACAAACCTTAATAAACTGGAGCAACATTGAAAAGAAGAGTGGGCCGAAATTCTCATTTTCACATGACTGTACATACAGTTGGTAAAGAAAAGAATCACCCCCTCTAAAATAATCACATTTTGTTGCTTTGCAGCCTGAAATGGAGACAGACACAGTTATTGTTTTATCCAGCTGTATTTACTCAGTGCAACTTATAACATCCAAGTGAAAGATATAACACCAACAAGCCAGGAAAAAAACAACAACAACAACACAGAATCAGAGGCCCCGATCACACCGAACACGGTTTTTATGTCTGAAAACTTGAGGCGCACCACACTGCCTTTTTTTGGGTGACTTTTAAAAAAAGAGCAGTGCGCTGCGTTTTTTTTTATGTTGCTAGGCAACCACCAAATCAGCTGTCCTGTCAGTCTAATCAAAGGATTATATACGTATATCTTTGGTTTTTGCTGCTAAGTAAACTGTCATATTAGCAGAAACCTTAAAAAATACAGCTCCGGGTAACCCGCGACAGACACCAAAAGTTTCTCCTCCAACATTGTAGTCTCTAAGCAATGGTAAACTTTCGTCACCATAACAGAAGGCCTGCCTCTCCATTCATTCGATTGGACAATGGAAAAAACACGAATGACGTCAGGCGCTTTTCTGCTCAGAGTTGCTTTTTTTTTTCAACTTCAGGCGTCAGAGCGCTCCTCCAAAAATGTGAGGCACCCGGGGCGCATAAACAGCGCGCAAAATGTTCACTGCCAACAGAAACAATTCAAAAAAGGCGCCTCTCACTGCAAAAAACGCTTTCTGTCTGATCGGGGCCTAACTTTGCACATATTAGACTTTGCAATATTTACCCTCTCTTCTTTGCAGAACTGCTCAAATTCAGTTAAATTTGATGGTGACCGTTTGTAGACTGCCGTTTTAAAGTCATTCCACAGTTTTTCAATGGGGTTTAAGTCTGGGCTCTGAATAGGCCATGCAAGGATATTCACCCTTTTCTCCTTCAACCACTGTTTGGTCAGTTTTGCTGTGTGCTTTGAGTCACTGTCATGTTGGAAGGTAAACCTTCTTACCATTGACAACTTTCTGGTAGAGGGCAGCAGATTTTCCTCAAGAATTTGACTGTATTTTGCCCCATCCATTTTTACTTCTATCCTAACAAGTGCTCCAGTCCCTGCTGCGGAGAAACGCCTCCATAACAGGATATTACCACCTCTATGAGAATTTGTGATATTGTTGTCACATGGACACAGTGACCATTCTTTGTCATAAATTCCTGCAACTGCTTCAGAGTTGCTGTAGACCTCGTGGTAGCCTCTCTGACCAGTTTCCTTCTGGCTCTTTCATATAGTTTGGAGCGACGTCCTGATCCAGGGAGGGTCTGTGTTGTACCAAATTCCTTCCACTTCTTAATAATAGACGTCACTTTGCTTTTAGGCATTGATAAAGCCTTTGAAATTTTTTTGTATACATCTCCTGACTTGTGCCTGTCCACAACTTTATCCTGGAGATCTTATCCTGGACAGTGTCTTGCCACCCATAGTTAATTGTTTGCTTCAGTTGCTCTGCCAAGGACTGAAATGCTCCAGGAAAGCTTTTTTCATGCTGAGCTAATCAAAATGACCACAGCTGATCACAGTTGAAAGTCAGATGGCTTTGTGTTCCAATGGCTGCATTTAGACTTGGCATTAACATGCGACCTGTATCCGGATGTTGTCCACATACACATTGAAAAGACAAGTGTAAACGCGCTTCTGATCGGAATGTTATCTGATCAGCGTGTCCTGGTCCAGAGGTAGTCGAGGACGCATTGTGATCGGATCTCAGTGTAATGTAAACGCTTTTCAAAAGAAAACCCACCACTCCGGGTCGACTTTGCACCAGGGCCATTCTCTGCAGACTTATTTAAATATTGCGTGGGAAAGACAGTGTTCGTCCGATCGGTTATGCAGATAGAGAAGTCAGTTGATGTTACCATGTGTAAAAGCGGCGTGTCCTGATTGATTGATGACAGGGCCGTCCTTAGGGGGGTGCAACTGGTGCAGTCGCACCGGGCCCCGCGCTTGAGGGGGCCCCACGACGAACGGACCGAGGGGGACCTTGGGTGATCTTTTTTCCAACTCAGTGATTCTGGGTTTTTTTTGTGTTTTTTTTTATATATGTTGATGTTATATCTTTCACTTGGATGTTATAAGTTGCACTGAGTAAATGCAGCAGGATAAAACAAAAATGGTGTTCGTCTTCATTTCAGGCTGCAAAGCAACAAAATGTGATTATTTAAAAGTGGGGTGATTCTTTTCTATACCCACTATATTTACTTTATACTGTAACTTTCAGAGATGAAAGTTCTTGCACAATCCAAAAAAAAAAAAGTCTAATGAAACTGAACTGCGAAAACATGCTCATTCTGAACTTATACAACTTTCTGATATTAGGCACATTTATACATCAACAGCCCATTCACACAGTCACAATGAGGTAATAAGGACAAAGAGGGATAGACAGTAAAACCAGAAAAATGAATTATAAGTACAAAACAAAAAGTATTCAAGTCTGCCACTTTTTAACATTAAGCAAAAGTAACCAAAGCTTAGTTGTGTGTGTTTTTTTTTTTAATGAAAAGAAGCAACCTAGGCAGAGATATAAAGGAGAGGAAATGATGGCAATTTTCATTTTGTGAAACTCAATTCATTTTAAAAGAACCCTTTTATTATGTACTATAGTAAACCTTTATTGATATATATATGTATATATTTAGGAAACACTTGAGTGTTAAAAATGTAATTGCATGTAACACTTGCCACATCTAGAACCTGTTGAAGAAAAAAAAACAGCTCACCTAATGACCTATTCAACCAGATCTTCAATTGGGATTAAATTAGAAGTGCCTGGAGTGCATTCAGAACATGGAAAATCAGCTTTTTCTTACTATGCTTCTTGGTTGTGGAATGATTTTCAGATTAAAACTCCATTAGAAGCAATTCCTTCTTTGAATATTTTTTTTTAAATTATTGCAGCGTGTAATGAATGAACCTTGTGGTTGTTTTAATTAGGCTGTTGATTTATGATTATTGTTTTGCTTTGTTTGTTTTTAATTCTGTTCTGTGTGTTGTGTAACCTTTTAAATTTATGTGAAACTCTCTGTTTTGTACGGTCATCTTGGCCAGGACTCCCTGGAAGAAGAGATTTATTTTAATCTCAATGGGACCTTCCTGGAAAAAATAAAGGATAAATAAAAAATAATGCTCACTTTTATGCAATATGAACAGGTCATAAACGCTCCAGACTTGCAGATGGGTCTCATCTGTGCTCTGGGAGGTTAGAGATACTTCATGATCAGACGTGGATGTCAGTGTGTGACGCTACCTTTGACCAGCAGGATGCAGAGGTTGTGTGTAGAGAGCTGGACTGTGGGGCTCCTGTACAGGTGCTGGGAGCAGCTGCTTTTGGAAAAGGAGAGATGTTGGAGTCATCTGCTCTGGTGAGTCGATAGTGTAAGATTGACTGATATTATGCTGCTCAAAGACTCAGTAGTAGATATACATTATTTTATCTCATGTATTTCACTTGTTTATTTCAGACTGAAAGATTAATGCTCTTGTCATTTATTGTAGTATTGATTTATTAATATATAAAATGTTTTATTCTCAAACTTGCAGTATTTTACTTAAACATCAGATTGTCTCCTCAGGTTCCTCTCTGGCTCTTCATGATGGTCTGGTGCGGTTGTCTGGAGAGAGACAGTGTGAGGGGGAGGTGGAAGTTTTTATCCATCAGGTATGCTGCTAAATTGTTTATATTGAAATTAAATATAAGGTTTTACACATTTCAACATTCATGTGTCCATGATGTTCGCATTTTTCAATTTTGTGATTTTAAAAATGACATTTTTTATGTAGAATTTAAAGAGATCAGGTTAACTGAGGGCTGTGAAGGGAATGTGGAGGTTTTCTACAATGGATCCTGGGGTAATGTGTGTTACAACAAGATGGACAGAGACACAGCGAGTCTGATCTGTCAAGAGCTGATCTGTGGAAGATCTGGTGTTTTGTCTGACTCTACAGCAAGAGTGAAATCAGCTCCTAACTGGCTAGATAAAGTAACATGTCGACCACATGACTCAACTTTGTGGCAGTGTCCATCTTCACCCTGGGGACAGAATGACTGTGGTGACGATGAAGTGGCCAAAATCATCTGCTCAGGTAAAACAGATGCTTTTTTCATCAGTAAACAATACAAGAGTTATCCTTTATTATTAGTGCTTTGAGAAGATGTGTGGAATACATTTAATAATAATTTATTTGTTGTTACAGAACAGGAGATCCATGAGTCTCCTCGAAGCTCTCTGACATGCTCCACATCTCCCCATCAGAGACAGTGTTTGGGTAAGTTCATTTAATGGAAACAACCATGAAAATTATGAATGTTGTATGCAACCCCTGTTGAAAAAAAAAGCATATGCTGGTTAGGTATGTTTTGAAGCAGGGCAGCTGGTTTAAGCTGGTCCTGAGCTGGTTATTAGCTAGTTTACGATGGTCATGTGCTGGTCTAAGCTGGTCGTAAGCAACTAACTCCTGCTCAGGACCAGCTCATAACCAGTTTTTAACCAGCTCATGACAAACTAAGGACCTATCTAACCACCATATGCTGTTTTTTTCAACAGGGATGTAAGATAATGGTGTTCTAATATGAGAAACCAGCAGGATTTCATCTTGGAATATACAAATGATCACACACACATACTCCTGTGCAGACGCTGCTGTTCTGACAGTACTCTGCTGGCAATTAATGTATCTACTTTTTTGTGATGTATGTTTTAGATCTTGTTCCTCTCAGACTGAGTGGAGGGGAGGGCCAGTGCTCTGGGAGGCTGGATGGATATCATAACGCTGTGTGGGGCTCAGTCTGTGATGATCAGTGGGACATCAGCGATGCTCAGGTGGTCTGCAGGCAGCTGGGTTGTGGAGCAGCACTGAGGGCTGATGGGAATTCAGTCTTTGGTGCTGGTGAAGGTGTTGTGTGGATGAACAGAGTCGAGTGCAGAGGGAATGAGATTCACCTGTGGGACTGTCTGTCCTCTCTGAAAAACCACACTGACTGCTCCCACAAAGAGCACGCTGGACTCACCTGTGCAGGTCTCAGCAAAACACTGAGGAGTATTATTTATTTTATAGCTTTATATAGCTATATTATAGCTTTGAATGTGTTTGTGTCTGTTTTGACAGATTTGCCAGATTTGTCAGTGTCCTCTACTCCTGCCACAACAACATCAGCTTCTCCTCCAGTTTCTCCTCCAGTGCGCTCAACATCAGTCTCTCCTCCACAAACTCCTGAAGCAGCGTCTCTCTCTGTCCCCCCAGTGCTTGTGATTGTACTGGGAGTTGTGCTCTTACTGCTCTTAGTGCCACTGCTTATACTGATTCAGCAGAACAGAGTGATGAGGAGAGGTAGGAGAGATCCAGAGACTGTCATATTGTGTCTTATTCAGTGTGTGATCAGTCATGTGTTGTGAACTGACAGCAGGTTTGTCTGTCTACACTCACAGCTCTCTCTAAGAGGAGACACAGGACGACGACTGAGGCCGTTTATGAGGAGATTCAGCACAGACCCACTAACAGACACAGTCTCTTCACTCAGAGAGGTGAGTAAGTGTCATAGTGTCGAATTTGTGGAGATCAGCAGGATAATCACTTTCAGAGGGATGAGTGGAATAAATCACACTGATTTGTGGGACCTTTTGTGTTATTTGAAATTATATAGCATTAGGTGTTGAATGATCCAAAGGGGTTTTGGCAGATTTATGATTGTGAATGTATCTTTTGGTTCTACTCCATAACAGGAAGTGTCCTTTCTGAAGAACAGCATTCTGGGTATGAAGATGCTGATGAGCTTCTTTCAGGTTAGAGGACTTAAGTATAGTAATGTTACCCGCTACATACATTAGCCTATGTATGTTGTGTAAAGCATATGTAATTAATTAAAATTCACTTAGCAAGTTATCTTAGCAGAAAATTATATACACCATTCAGCACATTATTTAGATATGGTTCTTTCTTTCATACATATTTATATTTTTATTAAAGCAAAATCTGCAAAAGGAGACTTACCTGAATACCATAATGATTTCTCCACCACTAAAGGCCCGACAGGTCAGTAACTTCAGCTGATGGGGTTCCTTTCTTTAATCTTTTGGGCCTGTGAACAGTAAAGCTGTTTCTGTTTACAGACCATAGTCAAGGTAGATGGCATATTTTATGCAGATGAAAACGAGGTTTTGAGGGACAGACTTACAGTTCTAGAGTCAAAGGTCCTAGATCACATCGTTTTCAAAAAGTTTTTGTTTACTGAAAGTTTTTCGGAAAGATGTTTCGTCAGTTGAATAATTGGCATGTTGTTAAACAACAGTACAATCCATTTAACATTTTGTACTTCTGTCACTCACAACCTCGTTTTCATTCTTGTCAAAATATAACTATGGTGCTGCCCTGACTAATGTCTGTTCTCTCTTTGTTTTTAACTCATTTAGAAGAGCAACAATTCACACCAGAGAACTATGATGATGTAATCACTGTTGGACTGAGACATCATACTACAGGTTTATTGTTTATTTCTTATAATTATTTCTACATGTTTTAACACTATAAATATATGTCTATTTTAATATATATGTATTTTAATTGATACATGCATTTAATTTGTCTTTTCTTTTTTCTTTTTTTTTTTTGTAGATGACTTACCAGAAAACTATGATGATGTCGTCATTATAAGACAGTTCTCCAATGATAACAATGATAAGGGATTCAATTTACACCCTTCTAGATTGGAACAGGATTTTTAAATTATTTTTCTTCAAATTATTGTGCCAAATAAAGTATGTAGTCCAGTGGTGTCCAAACCTGCTCTTGGAGGGCCAGTGTCCTGCAGAGTTTAGCTCCATCTTGTCCCAACACCCCTGTCTGGAAGTTTCTAGTGACTCTGAAGACCTTGATTAGCTGGTTCAAGTGTGTTTAATTGGGGTCAGAACTAAACTCTGCAGGACTGTGGCCCTCCAGGAGCAGGATTGGACACGCCTGATATAGTCTATTTGTTCATGTAATTAATAATAGCCACATTTATATCAGGGGGTGTTCAGGAGGAGTATGATGATGTGAAGAATGTCAGGGAATATATGAGTGACATGTTTGGTACGTTATTAACAACTTCATTTAGTCTTTATAATCACTTCATATGATCAATTTCTGTGGTTATGAAAGCTCATTTAAATTTACTGCTAGTATATTTTAGTGTTGTAGTGTTTTTTTATCATGCATTTTAATGTATGTATTGATACATGAATTGGCTCTTGTTTTCCAATAACAGACTATGATGATGTGGAGGAGGAACCAGGAAAACAGGCAGGAGCTGTATAACTCGAACCACATCCACTGCCTCAAATCCTTTCAAAGCTTTTAAAGTTTTAGCAATCTTACTATATACGCTTCAGTTGCAATCTAACAGTGTTTTGCTACATTCTGTATTGAAATATACAATTGCAATTTTTGACAGAAAAAAATGCTTTGCTTTTATGACCTTTTCAAAAGGTGCTTGACTTTTTCCAGATGCTTTTACAAATCTTTTCTATTGTGTAGCCTTAGAGATTTAAGGGGGGGAAAAACCTGTAGTTTCTGACATTCAGTTTATTTGTATAAACATAATTGTGTTGAGTTCAGATCGTTCTCCATTCAGCTACCACCCATCATTAATGGATTACACTATCTTCAACTTAATAATATCATAATATTAAATATCAAAATATCATTCACTGATGGTTCACTGTTAATATTTTGCTAAAAGACATTAGAATGTCATGCGCTGCAACTTCAGAAAACACATGCAAATAGAAAAAGCACCAGCAAATTAAGAAAACATCTTCATCAGTCTGAGAGCACATGTGCTGGAAATACTCCCAACACAGCCAAATACAAAACACGCTGCAAATCCTCACATCACAAACAAAGAAACAATTTGTGCATGGTTACCATGGTTTAACTATTAACCATTTTTTGTTTTTATTTACTTTTTATATAATAAATGTATTAATTAATTAATTTTTTAATTTTAAGGCTATGGTTAATTTTTATTAGGGAAATTGTAAAAGTAAGTTTGCCATTTGCAGCCGTTTCTGTATTTGTTTGTGTTGTGAGAATTTGCAGCCGTTTCTGTATTTGTTTGTGTTGTGAGAATTTGCAGCGCGTGTGTTATCAAATTGATGAAGATGTTTTCTTAAGTTGCATGTGTTTTTTTCATTTGCAGCGTGTTGAGCTCTCTCGCCCACCGTAGAATGTACTTAATAAGTTTACAAACAGCAGACATGAGCAATAATCTTTCCTTTTAAATTAATATAATAACTCTTTTATTTACTGATTCATTCATTCTTTATTTAACCAGGATAAAAACTCAGTAAGATTAAAATCTCTTACAAGAGTGACTGGCCAAAAAAGCAGAAACAAATAACAGAAATATACAAGTTTACATCAAAAACACAAAACACAAATCAAAGATCACAACAACAATTTACTGAGCAGAAAAGCATGTTGTTCACTTTATGTCCTGCAGTGGTGGTTTCTGATTGTCAGAAACACATGACATGAATACTTGCGCCGCCATGATATTGCTTTGCCCTAGTATTCCCACACATTAGGATATCGTGCAATGAGAAAAGAAACGAGAAAACGTCACCTAACAAGTCCGAATTTTTATCTGAAGTATCACTATACATTGTTAAATTGCAGATGTCCTAAGCCTGTAAATGGTTGTTTAATGTTGGTAATTTCCCTTGCTTATTAAAAAATGACATTCATATTCTATTCATTACAGTAGCGAACATTTGAACAAGACATCAACATATGTATTACAAATGTCAAAGTGTTCATTCTGAAATCTGAATAAATATGTATGATTTGTAATGTATGCACCATGTACAGTTATTCACTGTGCTTGTGTAATTATGTTGTTGTAATATTTTGATTAGTACAGTAGGATAACTGCAAATGTTTCAAAAATGATTTAGTTAACAGTATGCAATTTGAAGCACTTAATGATTTAAACATTGCTTAAATTAATAATTACATACAAAACATTTTACTCCAATGGAAACTGTAATTCAGTAAAACGCCATAGAATTTGTGCAGTCTTGAAGAGTCTGAAATAGATGTTGCTCAATCAGGAAATAAAATACACACACCATATATTCAGAGAAATAATGCTGACTTTGTACAGACTTTAAAGACGTGAAGCTTTAGTGAAGTTGGTGTGTGGCAGTATCTCTGTGCTGCTGACTGGAGGTTCATCATGATGGTCAGTGGGGAACAGTGTGTGATGATGACTGTTCTGTTATTATATAATCTGTTTCTACAATATATGGTTGCTTTTTATTTATTTTTCACACTGTTCCTTTAAGGGCTTAACAGATATAAATGTCACTTTATCAGTTTAATGTTTCAGAGCTTATAATGTGTGTGAGAACAATGTTCACACTAAACGATGATGATGTCATCATTAATGGACAGCGCTGGACGAGTTACACAGAACTGCATTAAATATTCTTCTTTTATGTGTATTAGTTTAACGGTAACTGTGTATATATCCAAAAGGACCAGATGAAATAGAAACAAAGGAATTTTAAAGAACTCAGAAACGAAAAAACACACTAGCATAGACATAAAACATCATAACATCAACACAAGACCAAAAACTGAAGAAACTGAGGGCTGATATATTCTTGCAGGGAGTAATCAAGGGAACAGAAGTGGGAGCTAATCAGGACAGATGCTAAAGCAGGTCTGTTTATAAGTTTATATCCCTTCTACCCTTGAAGGTAGAAAGAAGATTGCTTAATGTGCACTTATAATATACATCACATTAAAGGCCACTTAAGTATATCTTAACTAAGTACTCACTTTATGTTTCTTAACACACTTTAAGTGCACTTAAAAATGTGCTTTGTAATTTTGTGCATTTAAGTTTTACTTAAACTTGCATTTTAAATCACTATGTTTTTGTCATGCTTTAAAGAGGTAGTTATGTTGATGTATTGATTAATATACTAAAGCACATGTAAAATAATTGACTTTCATTTCAACTGAAGTGTGTTGTCCAAAATTACATTTGTTAATGTATTTTAAAAGTGTTTATAATATATACTGTGTATATATTATATTATGTGTGCATTGTATACTGTGTGTATTTTTCTTCTAAACTTCATTACAATTTTTTTAATTGGATTGTACTAAAATTTCACCTTCTGTTTCCGTCTGGAGCAGGCTTTCAGATTCTTGTTCGTCTGTATCCATTTCCATAGTGAACTCGTTGACTACAGCGTTTCAGCTCCGTAGACCATCACGCTGATTCGGACGTGCAGCAATCTTTTAATGACTGTCACGTTGCCATCTTGAGCATGCACGTGCATCGGGGGATCTGAACCAGCGAAGGTGAAGCTCTTACTGTAAGCGGACCCCATCCGAATGATGGCCGAAACTTTACTGATGATTTGAAGTTTTATTACTTGTCCGTTTAGTCAAGAAATCACCGTAAGAGCTGAATGAAGCGATACAAAAATGTGCATTAACATTAGACATATTCAGCGATTTTCACAAATACTTGTTTTAACTAACAGTATACAAATACACAAACCTTATGCCTTTTCGGGGGGTGCTGAATAAACTTAGAAACCGTCCTTTCGTGCACGAGTTCTGTTAAGCCGTCATGAAGCGTTCGCACTCCATACCATTTCTCATTACTCTCCGAGCAGTGAAAAGCAGATTCCGTTTCAAAATAAAAGTCCCCCATAAACAACGGAAATAATGCGATCCATAGATAATTTTTAACATACAAAATATATCAAAGGCAACACAAAACAAATAGCAAAATTAAGGATAACTCTTATTAAAGTCTGTTACATTTATCCTTTTGAGTTTGTCTCATTGTGATTCCCGCCTGGTTCTGTCTGGTTTTGTCTGCCGCTCCCGTTATTTTATTGTTGTGTCATCATGCTGTCCTCAGTTCTAAGCTATTAAATGGCAACTTCATGGTGGACGGCAGGAGTTTGTGTGTATATGTGTGAACGGACACATGAAAACGGCCCTCGGGATAGTGAAAAGGACAAAAGAAACCTACTGACTCACAGATCATAAATGTACACGCACACACTTCCTCCATCAAGTCTCAGAAAAGGCTTTAATTTAGCCGACCAACAACAAGGCCAAGGACAATCCTGCTGTTTCAGGAACGTTTCAACACACAGATAAAGACATGCAACCAAAAAACAAACTGTTTGGTCATTTTTTAAAGGAATAGGTCCCCCCCAAAAAAAATTATTTATGAAACTGCACACACACTCAGGCCATTCAAGATGTAGTTGAGTTTGTTTCTTCATCAGAACAGATTTGGAGAGAAATGTAGCATTACATCACTTGCTCATCAAGGAATCCTCTGCAGTGAATGGGTGCCGTCAGAATGAGAGTCCAAACAGCTGTTAAAGCATCTCAATAATCCACAAGTGATCCACATGACTCCAGTCCATCAATTAACATCTTGTGAAGCAAGAAACAAATCCATCATTAAGACATTTTAACTTCAAACCATCACTTCTGACCAAAATACAGTCAATAATCCATAATAATATTTCCACCAGTGAAAAAGTCTATCCCCTGTTGTCCTCTCACATCAAAATCCACCAACATATATATATTCAGACCTGTTTTGGTTTGTAAATGGTGCTTGATCTGTGCATATTTCTCTCCTGATTCAGAAGAAATGACTTTTTCACTAGAGAAAGCAATATGGACTGAGGACTTGTAT